TTTTTTTTTTTTTTTTTTTTTTTTTTTTACTTTTCGGTATAAGGCATTTTTTCTTGATGTAATAATTGTACTTACTCACTCCTGATTCTAAGTGATTTAAAATCTCATTTAGGTTCTAATGGCAACCATATCTTTGAGGAGGATGAAAGACAAGGCCTTAGTCGGTTTACCATCTAAAACTGTAGAGACATGTTTGGTGGAACTTTCTCTAGAAGAGCGCGAGCTGTATGATCAAATTGAAGGAGAAGCTCGGAGTATTGTCCGCAACTATATTGCTGCTAACAGTGTAATGAGCAACTATTCAAGTGTACTCAGCATAATTTTACGACTTCGCCAAATATGTACAGATCTAGCCTTGTGCCCAGCAGATTTCAGATCAATGCTTCCATCAAACAATATTGAAGGTATTTTCTAGGATTTCTATCTATATTTTTAAGTTCATGTTTCACTCATTGCCCTGTGATGTCGTAGTACAGTGATTGTATAATAACCTCCCCTCTACCTGTGGGCAAACTGAATCGTTGCTTTTGCATGTGCTTTAATGATTTGTGAGCCACAAGCGCCAGGCAAGGCTTGGTTGGCTGTAGTAAAACTATTTATTGCATTTTGAAGTAAAGGGTCATTTATACTGTCAAGTCCCTCGCCCATTTTTTCTGGTGTTGGATCGTGTGCAGTCCTCTATAGTTTCATTTTGTTTTTCCATTGGCTTGTCCTAATATATTTTTTTGTGTTCTTCTCCTAAAATGAATTTAGAGATAGCCTTTCAGGTCTCTTTTAACAGTGTCTCTTGAATGTTTGATCTGTATCTTAGAAAAAGGCCTATGCTTCTACCTTCCTAAGTTTGGTAATTCTTAACATGCTTTGTCGGTTGTCGATTTCAGGCTTAATACAAAATTGATAACGCATGTCCAAGAACACACATTTTAGACTTCATATTATTTCCCACATTTAACAATGACAATCTGAGGTACATCATATAAGCAGGTATTTCTGTGCACAGTTGTGTTCGTATGTGCATGTGTGAATGTTGCTGTTACTCTAACGATATTGTTTTCTTTTTTGTATTTATTGATGGCTTTTAAAGATTGCTTGGAATACGTAAAAACTGTTTCCTTGAAGGATAACTTGTCAGGGACATTATCCATGCAACTTGTAAGTTAGTTAAAATCATGCATATGTTGATTTATCTTTTGTTTTTTATTCCTCTATTCTGTGCTCAATTCCTTCAAATAAGTAGACCTTTGATCCTCTTCTACAGAATACTGTTGGTCCTTAGGTAATCTAGGTTTCAACATATAAGTTCTCCTGTTCTGCCACAAAACAATTGTGATGGATTGCTTGGATATTTTTTATTTCAAGCAGATGTATCCAACAACCCAGAATTGCTGAAGAGGATGGTTTCGGTGCTCCAAGATGGGGAGGATTTTGATTGTCCAATTTGCATTTCTCCGCCGAGTAATATTGTTATTACTCGTTGTGCTCACATCTTCTGCCGATCCTGCATCCTTAAAACCCTGAAACGTGCTAAACCCTGCTGCCCTCTCTGCCGCCGTCCACTGTTAGAGTCTGACCTTTTCTCGTCTCCACCAGAATCTTCCGACATAGCCAATAATGAAATTTCCTCTTCTACTACATCTTCTAAAGTGTCTACACTTCTAAAGCTTCTCTCAGCATCAAGGGATCAAAAACCAACAATAAAATCAGTTGTTTTCTCACAATTCCGGAAAATGTTGGTTTTACTTGAAGAGCCGTTAAAAGCTGCTGGTTTTAAGATCCTGCGCTTAGATGGGTCAATGAATGCAAAGAGGAGAGCTCAAGTAATAAAAGAATTTGGAATCCCAGCAACAGATGGGCCTACAATCTTGCTTGCAAGTCTTAAAGCATCTAGTGCTGGTATAAATCTAACTGCTGCTTCCAGGGTCTATTTGTTGGAGCCATGGTGGAATCCTGCAGTCGAGGAACAGGCTATGGACCGGGTCCATCGTATTGGGCAGGAGGAGGATGTGAAGATTGTGAGGATGATTGCTCGAAACAGCATTGAAGAGAGGATACTGGAGCTACAAGAGAAAAAGAGGTTGCTTGCAAGGGATGCTTTCAGTAGGAGGGGACCAAAAGATCGGAGGGAGATTGGTGTCGATGATCTTCGTACTTTGATGTCTATGTGAGTCATTCTCACTCTTACCCATTATACTTGCAGCATGGGCGTTGTGTTTGCTCTTACATGTATGTCTGCATAGACTCGCTATAAATTTTGGGTTCAGAAAGCTTCTAAACTCTTTTGGTTATGTACACAAGGCACATCCAACCATGCATACAAGTATGCAGAAGCTACATGAAACTGTATTTTCTGTTTCGAACTCTCTTTTGATATAATGGTAAAGAAACTTATGGCAGATAATGACTTTGAAACAAACGCTCCCCTAAGAAGGGGCTGGCGCCCAAATTGTTATTCGAGTTATAGGTATTGTTGTAGAACTATATTTTTATCGTGTGCACTCTATTATTTTCTTGCATCAATAATTGTTGTTGTGTTAAGGGTTTCTGCAATTGACATTGATTTGCATTCTTCCGAGTTTATTTTGCTCTATATTCTTAATTTGAAAAAAAAAAAAAAAATTGGTTTTAATTGTTTGAACTGACCTCAATTTTTAACAATTATGCATCTCTATTTTGTTGTGACCATTGACTCTTGTGTTTTACCTAGATTTTGATGACAGGCTATGTTTATTTCCTGAATTTTCGTTTTAATGCTTTTGTTATTTTGATTTCTTAATGATAATATTTGAAAGATAGTTTATCATATCGACAAAAATTTGAAAATTGTGACGAATTGATCGTGTCGCTGAATGAATGGCTAATGAATGATGATAGCTTGATTGTAGTTTTTTTATGAAATTGAGAGTGCACTTTGAGAATTAAAATCTTTCAAAGATACAAATTAAAAATCCGTATAACTTTGAAGGTACAAAGTGAGATTAACCCATACGAATTAATGTAGTTTGATGAAGAGAAAAATTCAACCGGCTGCTACCAAAAGTTTAAAGACTTACCACTTCAACAGCGGGCCTAACATTTACATTTGTTTATGGTTGGAAGACAAAAGCCATACCTTGGGAGTCGTCTACGGTACTCAAAAAAAAAAAAAANCTTGCAAGTCTTAAAGCATCTAGTGCTGGTATAAATCTAACTGCTGCTTCCAGGGTCTATTTGTTGGAGCCATGGTGGAATCCTGCAGTCGAGGAACAGGCTATGGACCGGGTCCATCGTATTGGGCAGGAGGAGGATGTGAAGATTGTGAGGATGATTGCTCGAAACAGCATTGAAGAGAGGATACTGGAGCTACAAGAGAAAAAGAGGTTGCTTGCAAGGGATGCTTTCAGTAGGAGGGGACCAAAAGATCGGAGGGAGATTGGTGTCGATGATCTTCGTACTTTGATGTCTATGTGAGTCATTCTCACTCTTACCCATTATACTTGCAGCATGGGCGTTGTGTTTGCTCTTACATGTATGTCTGCATAGACTCGCTATAAATTTTGGGTTCAGAAAGCTTCTAAACTCTTTTGGTTATGTACACAAGGCACATCCAACCATGCATACAAGTATGCAGAAGCTACATGAAACTGTATTTTCTGTTTCGAACTCTCTTTTGATATAATGGTAAAGAAACTTATGGCAGATAATGACTTTGAAACAAACGCTCCCCTAAGAAGGGGCTGGCGCCCAAATTGTTATTCGAGTTATAGGTATTGTTGTAGAACTATATTTTTATCGTGTGCACTCTATTATTTTCTTGCATCAATAATTGTTGTTGTGTTAAGGGTTTCTGCAATTGACATTGATTTGCATTCTTCCGAGTTTATTTTGCTCTATATTCTTAATTTGAAAAAAAAAAAAAAAATTGGTTTTAATTGTTTGAACTGACCTCAATTTTTAACAATTATGCATCTCTATTTTGTTGTGACCATTGACTCTTGTGTTTTACCTAGATTTTGATGACAGGCTATGTTTATTTCCTGAATTTTCGTTTTAATGCTTTTGTTATTTTGATTTCTTAATGATAATATTTGAAAGATAGTTTATCATATCGACAAAAATTTGAAAATTGTGACGAATTGATCGTGTCGCTGAATGAATGGCTAATGAATGATGATAGCTTGATTGTAGTTTTTTTATGAAATTGAGAGTGCACTTTGAGAATTAAAATCTTTCAAAGATACAAATTAAAAATCCGTATAACTTTGAAGGTACAAAGTGAGATTAACCCATACGAATTAATGTAGTTTGATGAAGAGAAAAATTCAACCGGCTGCTACCAAAAGTTTAAAGACTTACCACTTCAACAGCGGGCCTAACATTTACATTTGTTTATGGTTGGAAGACAAAAGCCATACCTTGGGAGTCGTCTACGGTACTCAAAAAAAAAAAAAAAGGGTACCCTATAATATTTATTATTTTTATGGTTATTTTTATCCTTGTTGTGAGTGTGTTTATCATTGTTGTGGTATCGAAGAAAAGTAGTAAAAATAGTTATCACAATAGTGATAAAAATATTCATAAAAGTGATATTTTTTTTTGTATCGAAGTAAAGGTAAAATTTTTTACCACAAGAGTAATAAAAATATCCATAAAAATGATAATTTTTTTATTTTAAAAATATCCATAAAAATTATTAATATACGATTAAAAGTAATAAATTTTAGAGGTATGATATTAAATTTTTTTATCGACACAAGTTAAGTCCTGGACAAAAATTAAGGCATGTGCTTCCATAATTCAAGAATTCAATAAGCCTAAGATTACCCAACAACACAAATAGGGGGTCCATAGCTTGCTCCGTTAGAAGTCTAAAAGGCCGGACCCGAAGAGGAAAAGCCTAACTTCACTTGAAGGTTTGCAACTCAATCCCGTTCGGTCGATCGATGAGCAGTCCAGGGTAGAGAGGTCCAGTCTGATACAAACTCTGGAGCATCTTGTTGCGCCACGTGTCCAAAGGACAAGGAGACCATCACTGACACCCTTAGTAGTCACACACTTCTGGATGCAGAGTGTATTGGTGCACATAATCATCCAAAGATCATAGGAACAGTGGCATCGAATGAACAGTGGCGTCAAATGACAGAGATTGCTACAAGGTATAGACAGGGAAACCAATGAAATCGGCACAATAAAAGGAGGAACAACAAGAAACCCTAGAGAAATCATTGTATAAGTACATAATTGTTACCCGACAGATGGGGGCTCCCTTCTTCTTCATTATTCACGTTCTCAAGCCAAGGACTTGGCAATTAGAGCATAACACAAAATCCTGTAAAGAACTCTCTTGTTTGAATCATTGTTGTACTCGCCAAGGATTAAGCAATATACGACCTCAAGGGATAAGAGTCTTCATCACAGTAGACGTAGTCTTAGTCCTTCGACTAAGGTGAACCATTTACATCTTGTGCTCTTTCAATCTCTTTAGATTAATTACCTAATCACAAAATCACACTCAAATCCTTGATACTTCATCGGCCAGGCTTAGGCCGTTATGTCTGAGCATCATCAAGTCCCATATTTTTTTAAGGGATTTGACTATGGTAACAAAAAATAGAATTTTTGTATCATATTTAAATTTTTTATCATTATTGTAATAGTTTTAGAGATATTGTGAGACAAAGATAGATATCGATATATTTGAGAGTGATATTTTTTGTTGGACAAATATACCCTTACAAAAAAAAATTGTGACCTTTTTTTGTCTAAATAAATTAATAGGTCTGGATGGAAGGATTGAATTGAAACTCAATTAAACTTTAATTACGTAATTGCATCAATTGAAATTCAGAGGCCAAATAAAAATTGTGTGTAAAATTTAAGGATTAAATTATAAATTATCCTGAGGTAAACGTGACGAGCCGACTTTTCGTATTGTTGCATGCTCTCAACTATTTGTGGGGCAAACTTAGCAAGTACTTTCAAGCTTTCCAAACATGCAACTCCGGAGTGCATCCATCTTTTCAGAGTTTGACTTTTGGCATTTATGAAAGGGCAAATTATGTTCTAACCCCTAAATTATATCATTTGTCTCAAATTTTTCCACTCAACTATGGCTTCACCAACATTACATTAGGGGCAGCAATTTTTGACATAATACGAAAACACGTCTCGAAATCGACACGAAATTAGCGAGTTAAGATTGGCTACGACACGAACCTTAATATAAATTAATACGAACGCAAAACGAAAATAAATAAGTTGACACGACACAACACAATTATTTAAACGGGTTAAGTTAAAGTTAATTAGTGCTCAGTATGAACTTAAAATGATCCGATACGATTGTCACCCCTATATTACACCTCTAAATATTCTAATTGATTTCACACTATCTCTCTAGCAATTAACTTTCTTATATGGTACCTTCAATTATAATTACAGTAATGCTACACTAACTAAAGTTTAGGATCACACGATACTATATTCTAATTGATTTCACACTATCTCTATAGCAATTATAATTATTATTTTCACACTGCCCAAACTGCAGAAGTTAAAAATGCAAGTTTTACTACACATATGAGCATTTGGGCGGGAACAATGCAGCAACAGCGGCTTCCACCATTCCATTCAGGCACACACAGAACAGTAGTGATAGGTTGGCCTTCGTAACCACATTGTTTGATACAATCTTCTCTCTTGGATCATGTTTCCATGAACTTGCAAGCACGGCCAGGATCATCGTTCTTGTTGTCGATGTCTACCAAAAACATTTGGGGGGTATAACATTAGGAAAGTATATGAAATATCAAATGCCCATGCATGAAGAGCACTGGATATAATACATAAATAAAGAAATAAAATTTGTCTATTTAGTCCTTGAAGTTTTAAGTCTGAAACATATCTACCTATGTATTACATGTGGTAAGTGTGGATCAGTAAATGTTGTTCTTCTTTCTTCCTTGTAATGTGGATTTTTGTTTTCCAGCTTTCATATGTTTCATAAAGATATTATTATCATTTTTAAAAAAAAAAAAAAAAAGCATATGTATTACATATTAGGGGTAATCTATGTCTGAAGCTACGGTGTAATGTGAATAGTTTTGAAAGGGGATTGAATAAGTCTATTTGAAATCGTCGGATAAACTTATTGAAATCTGTCATGTTTTATATTATCGATTACTCCTAAAAAATTTCAACAATACCTTTGTAAATGTCAAAAAATTGTATGCTAACTAAATTACGAAAACTCATGCATATATGAAGGTGTTATGTGGAGTTAATCCATCACTTAATGTCTGCCTGAATCCAATATACTTTAAGAGAGGGTTTGAGCTTACCTTCAAACTCATTACCTATCAGCAAAAATTTGGCCCAACAGCCTGCCTGACCCGTCTACCGTTCCACCCAATTGCTTGAAAAAAAGTTGAGTATTAAAATTTTGAAAGTGTGGTGACAATATATGACTCTACTTTAGTTAAATAAAATTATTTATTATTTATTTTTTGTCCATTTTAACTCTATTTTTAATTCAAAAACATAATTTATAAAAATATTAAGTCAAAAATTTTTTAAATGAAATTGTAAATATATAAAAAAAAGAGGTTGCACGGCAAACCCACCTAGTGAGTGACGAGTTGAACTACAGGTAATCTATTTTTATTTAAAGCCCAGCCCAACTTGCTCAATAACTCGTTTTTATAAGGATTTAACTTTATTCTACACAGGATCGACCTGAAAAAAATAAATAGTAAGTCTAATCTAGCCCGAGCATGGACACCCCCTAAAAATGATTGGCAATGAGCTCGTAATAAATAGGAAAAGGCTACCATGAGCTCAACCCCATGTGTTTAATTATAAATTCTCGCTTATGACTAATGAGGATCGATTAGTGCACAAATTGAGACTTATCTACCAATAAATGAAACCAAACCTTGTAATTCAATCAAATGAGATTCCACTTGTTGAAACAAATTAAGTTTCTTGATTGATTATTGAAATATTAAAGAAAAATAGTATATAACCCAAATTTACAACTTAAATTTGCATCCTAAATGAAAAGAATCATTGAATGAATGAGTCCCATCAATTTTTTTTAAAAGGGACTCACTGATCCAATGACCCCTTTCATCTGGGATGCAAATTTGGATTTCAGATTTGAGTCTCTAAGGTCTAAACATGCATCAACAACAAATATATTTTCACACAATGAGCTTGGATATATTAACATTATAATTAATTTACATAACATGGATACATAGATCTAGATCTAGATCATTTTTAATATATTTTCTCTTTAATTTCCTTTTTGACAGATCATCTATTATTAATAAAGTAAGGGACCTGCTTATATGCAATGAGTCCAACTTGAACACATAATAGGTGTTTAAAAAAAAATAAGAAAAAATATATTAGAAGAGATCTTACTTCTCGATAAATAAGAGAGCATTATATTGTAGTAATAGAATCCATAGAAAACATATACATTCTCAAAAAGAAGATTGAGCACTGAAAACTAAATAAATGAATAATTGGTCTTTTTGTAATATTGGCTGATTGATGCAATCAAATTCGTGCAATCTTTGTTTGGAAGGTCAAATTTGTGCAATCTTAGTATAAGTAATCTCAACCTAATCTAAATGCATGTAATCTATACATTATAGTGATGTGCAGCATGCAAAATTCAGTGTATCTGAAATATACGAAATTGAGAGTGACGTTATTCTTTCGTCTCCATTGTAATGTGGATTCTTCTTCTCTATTTTTCTACTTTTATGTATTTCATAAAGAACTTATTACTATTTAAAAATAAATAAAAGCATGTATATTACATGTTACTCTGAAAAAAATGTCAAGAATCCCCTTGTAATGTCAATATAGTTAATTATAAACTGCTTGGTTGTGAGGTTGATTGTTGAACTATTAAATAATCTCATAAGTGTAAACATGCATCAACGACAATATATCTTCACACAAAGGGCTTGGATGTATTAACATTATAATTAATTTACACAACATGTGGGAGATGGATTCAAATCCCTTTCAATTTATTTTTTCTTCAATTTTCTGCTTAATTGATCATCTACTATTGATGAATGAATGACTCACTTGTATATAGCGGGTTCAACTTAAATACATGATAGGTGCTTTGTAAAAAAAAAAGAAGTAAAAATGTATTAGAAGAGATTTCACTCTTGGATAAATAAGGGAGCATAATATCATACATTTAAGATGATTGAGCAATAAAAACTAAGTAAGTGAATAAATGGTCATTATGAGAGATGCCAATGTAACCTCCCAATAGGGTCTGTCTCATGTGAAAATTCAATTAATACCCAACTCATTGTAATATTGGATTATTGATTCAATCAAATTCATGCAATCTCTTTTTGGAAGGTTAAATTCGTGCAATCTTTGTGGAATCTACGCACTATAATGATGGGCAACGCGTAATATTTACCATATCCAAAATATGTGAAATTGAGAGAGACGCCATAAGAATTGAAGTTAAGAAAGACTATAATATTTTTTATTCGGTTAGCCGCCTCATTTATTTGTATTAACGGTTTATTTTTTATATTAACGATTAGCGGTTAACCCTAGATAGAATTTCTAGTTGCGGCCCTGTTAATGGTTCATATTATATGGCAATACATAAGGAAAATATATATTAAAAAAAAAATTCTATTTTTTTATATAAGCATAAAAACCATTATCAGGTTGTTGGGTGATTCCTGTCTTTTTGTCTCCCTATTTCAGAGAGAGAGAGAGAGTGAGAGATTCGATTCAGAGTTGGAGCCTTGTCAAAATGTAAAATTTATGTTTATTTCATTAAATTCTGATGGTTTATTTATTTATGGGCCATTAATTAATTTGTTATTCCACTTTACAGGTAGACTGTACATTAAATGACCAACAGATAAGAAAGTTTAATAATTTCAACTACTAAAAATTCTCTTGAATAATTTTTTACCTCTTATTTATGAATGGATGATAACATAGTTGGAAATTTTAATTTTCTATTTTTACACTTCGAAATATTAATACCCTTAAGGTAGTCTTTTTTATTTTTAATAATTACGGGATTTTTGCAAAAAAAAAAATTGTTATTTTTATGAAAATCTGAGAAATTTATATCCTGGTTAATTTTTATTTTCTGTTAACCAAACTCGATTATTTATTTGAAATTTAGTTTTAAAGAGTAACAATTCTCGATAAGAAGTTCACGCAAAAAAAAAAAAAAAAAAAACTCATGGCATGGCACCAATTTTTTTTTTTTTTTGGTTTAATGGTTAGGATTATCCAGACTAACTTACATGTATATCAGCTAATCTCTTTTCTCACGTAGGGACTAGAGTATCATGAGAGATAAATATTTCTTGAATTAGTTTTAAATTATCAAAATTTAAACTCAAAACACTTGAGGCAAGTAGACTGTAAAATTTTACATTTTTTTTCCTGTCATCAGTTTTTTTATAAAATAGAAAAATAAAAATAATAACCCAAAAATTAGAATATTTGGGCTATTTTCTTTGTTTCATTTTTTTTTTTTTTTTGAATTTTTCAATTCAGCTTTTTGTCTGATGTACTAAAGTGTAGATAACGTAGATACCTGAGGCCCCACTAAGTGGGTCCCAACCTCACCTGACATGCACAACCACTAGTTTTGGCGTATTCTTTTCTAGCTTCCTTCGCCGCCATGTCACTCCACGTTCTACCAGCCGTAGTGATTAATCGAGTCGCCGAGTATTCTCAATTGCAGGAATTGAAAAACCACTGTGTAACCGGTAGCCGGTAGGTACGAGTGTCTTCCGCTTCGGACACGTGAATCGCGAGCCATGACGACACACTAAACTGGAATCATCTTTGGAATTACAATTACTACACTTTTGAAACTTTATTCTTCGTTTTTAGTAGAATTGCACTTTGTACACCCAAAATTTAAGAATTTTTACTTTATACCTTTAAAAATTAAATTTTTTATATTATACCCTCAATATATTAAACATATTATAATGTGACTCTTCTGTTAACTCAAATTGTTTATTTCGTCAACATCAATAGGATGGTTTTGACGGAATACACAACAAAAATTAACGAAAGAAGGTAACACACCCTCAATGTATTAAACGTATTTAAATTTATCATCAAATAATGGACATTATTTTTCACGAATGGAATTTCTCCAATGATAGATTCTTTTATGGTGTAAGACGGTATCCACTTTTTATGAGTTTCTCACCAATATAAATATTATAATCTAAAAAAATATATATTTAAATCGATTATGTTTGGATTGCAATTCTAAAAGCGTTTTGGTGTTTTCAGAAACTAAATAACAAGGCGTTTGGCCATAAGTGAAATAGATTTTATTTTTTGAAAAAATGGAAACAAAGTCGACTTCATAACGTTGATATATAAAAGTCAAAAAATATATTTTCTCTCTAGCTTGTTCGCTCTCTCTCCCTTTCAAACGCCGAAGCAGAACAGTTCTTTGTCTCTCACATGCTAAACCCTACATACAAACGGGTTGAACGATCCTCGACCAGAAAAAAATAGCCCAGATATCTCCAACCAGGTATGAAGACTTCAAATTTGTGTTACACATACGAATGTTTCTGATTTGTTGTAATAGGTTTTTCTTTTCTAAAATTTAAGAATAAAAAAGATTTCAAAACATTTTTTTGTAACAAAACGTTCTTTCTTAAAGCTCTTTTCAACAATAGTTTTTCAATACTTTTTTCAAGAATAAATCCCAATGTACCTCCAAAATCCTCCCGATTATGGTTCTTGTGAGCTTTCAAACATCAACTTGATTAAATTATGTTTATATTTGTATCAAATTGGGAAGAATTGTGACATGCAAATATGGATTCTAATAGTTTAATAATAATAATTATTTTATGAAGTGAGATCCATGTGATGTTGCATGATAAATATAAAATCACTTGTATTATAATAGAAAATATGGTAATTTTGTATACTTGTTTATGATCCTCATTCAAGTATCCCATCTCTCTCTCTCTCTCTCTCTCTCTCTCAACATGTAATCTTGGGACTTGGAGTTGTATAAGATCCATGGACTTTCTTGAATTTTTTTCAATTTCCCGAAAAAGAAAAGTTTGTATACTCAATTGCTGAAACACAACAACTAAGTCGGGTCAAACTATATAAAAGAACCTGAAAATCACCAACTCAGTCAACAAAATTAAAAAATTACTAGAAAACTATCTCTGTCTGTCTGTCTGTCTCTCTCACTCACTGTGTGTGTGAGTGTGTGCGTTTGGGGGGGGGGGGGGGGGGGGGTTTAACACCCGGGTATAATGAACAGCCT